CCCTTGTCCGAGAAGGTTAGGTGAAGATCTTTCCTACCAGAAGACCTGGGGTGTGGCTGAAAGACAGCAGCAAGAAGGAGCCAAGAAGTAGCAGTAGAAAGGCTGCAGGAAGAGTGAGGAGCCCAGGAGAATACAAAGGAGGTGAGGGGGTGGGAGCAGAAAGTGGAGACGAAAGCAGACGCTGAGCATTGCCAGACAGCAGGAAAGGTTGTGCAAGGAGAACATTTTAGAGAAGAAAATATTCCGTCGCTGTCCGGATTTGAACCCAGGACTTTTGAATGAAATGTGAACACCCTAACCTCTAGGCCACGAGAGACAGCAAGAAATCATCATGCTGGCCTGGAAATCAAAACTGTGAATAGAGTGCGGGTACCTTACCTATGTGTTATATGTGCTCTCTCTCTCTCTCTCTCTCTCTGACCAGCGGCTGTGGTGTAATGGTTAGGTTCTTCACTGTTGCACTTTTGGAACTTGAATTTGATTCCTGTATGAAAAGTCCGTTCGATTCATCAATTCAGTCTGTCTACATGTTAATCTATTTTTTTTTAAAGTAAGTGTTTCACGGCGCTCGCAACTTCATAAGGTCATGTTAGTGCCGAAGATTAGAGGTGTTACTAGAGAGTAACAAACAGAAAAAAGAAGTAGAGATAAAGACGATAGACGTTTGACAGGAAAGAAGGAGAAAATCACATTAGTGCGCCCGCCAACCACCCACTCTAATGATCTATCTACACACACACACACACACATAATATGTGGGGCAGCGTGGTGGAATCAGGCTCTCGTCCAAATAATCAAAGTGAAAAAAACGTGCATTTTTCCGCAGGTTTGTGGATTTTTATCAAATGTTTGTTTTTTGGAACAACAACTTTCATGCCCATTAAAGAACTCATTTCTGTGTAGGTTTTACTGAAAAACGTTGAACAAAGTCTCAAAAATGTAAATCTTCAGTTTCCAAGGACCCTCAAGCTTCGGAAATAACTAATCTTTGGCGGCCATTTTCTCACTAATTTTACGCCTGAAAAGATGATCCTCACTTACTTCAATCTCAAATATCTTGAGTTCTAGTCAAGATAGATGGGTATTTTATGCATCCAAATAAAGACAAATGAACAAGCTTTAAGATGATACCAATAACTCTACATGCCCAAAAATTGACGAGAGCCTGATTCCACCACGCTGCCTCACATATATAGACGTTGCAGGTGCTCTGTTGGTTTTATTTTATTTTACTCCCATCTTCTAACTACTAAGCATCTCTAAGCAAACTACAGGTGCCGGTATGTGACCAAAAATGCTGACTGTAATGGGTCAAGGATAGCGTCGATGTGCAGTACAGTATTGTGTTCTCTTGTGGAACTTCAGGTACATGACTGAGTCAAACGAGAGTATTAAATGTATGGACTGTTCAACTCAAGAAGAAGAAGAAGAAGAAGAAGAAGAAGAAGAAG